AGTAAGATAAAGGTAAATAGTCCAATAGAAAAGTGGACACAGGATATGAACAGAGACTTCACCGAAGAAGACATTCAGATGGCTAACAAGCACATGAATAAATGTTCAAAATCCCTAGCACTATGAGAGATGCAAATTAAAACAACTATGAGATAGCATCTCACTCCAGTCAGAATAGCAAAATTTAACAGAACAGCAAGCAACAAATGCTGGCGAAGTTGTGGATAAACTGGGACCCTTATTCACTGTTGGTGGGAGTATAAAATGGTGCAACCACTGTGGAAGGTGGTATGTCGCTTTCTCAAAAAGTTGCAAATAGAGATACCCTTTGACCCAGCAATTCCACTACTGGGAATATACCCCAAAGAAACCATAACTGACATCCAAGCAGATATATACACACACCCATGTTTATTGCTGCTTTGTTCACAATAGCAAGGAGTTGGAAACAACCTAAGTGTCCATCAACAAACGAATGGAGAGAGAAGCTGTGGTATATTCACACAATGGAATACTATGCTGCATTGAAAAACAAGTAACTCATGCAATATTATTCAAAATGGGTGACCCTGGAGGACAGTATGCTGAGTGAAGTCTCTCAGTCACAAAAGGACAAATATTGCATGGTACCACTGTTGTAAAACAGGACTGACCTCAGGGTTTGGAGGAGACTGAGAAAGATGGGTTCAATAATGTATACTGCATTGAAACAGATGAGGGAGAAAACTGTTTAAGAGGGATATGTTATTAGGTATTTTTGTCATGACAGAAGTCCAGAGCAAAGGCTGCATAGTGGAGAGGACCTGGGGGGAGGGATTGTAAAACAATGAAAGAATTTTTCTTTTACCTTTCCAAGAGGGTAGTGTAGTATACTAGGGGAGAGGGTTGGGAGGGGAGAAAAGTACAATGAATAAATGGAAATCCAAAGTCTCTCTAAATTTTCATTGAAATTAATAATAATTTTTTTTAAAAAAACACCAATATGGACGGGAAAATAGAAGGCAAACACATGCCACATATTACTCTGTTCACCTCTCTCAAACCTGGAGAGGCATCAGTAGTTAACCACATTTTGTTTTGTTTTACTTGCTAAACTTGGGCTTCTTCTTTATATCCTTTTCATCTCAATGTTTCAGGCACTTGCTACCAGTTGATTGGCGATGGTTTCTGAATGGAAATTCGTTTCCTGAACTAAAGACCTTTCCAACCCTTCCATTCCAATATTCTCTGAAAAATAACTTTCTCTGGGTCCCCATTCAGTCCCCTTTAAATCCCCTTTCACCTTGGCATCTCTTTTGTTCTTTTCCAGTTCCGCTCATGGAACTCAAGTTCATCCTCTTGACAAATGGCTTTGCATTGGTACAGTTCATTCTGCAGACATGTCCCTTTTAGAAAGAGGCACTGAGACTGCCCAGGACACACACCCTGTCCCATTGACAATGAGGCCATCAGAATTTCTTGAGTCATTAATTACGGCCCATTTGGTTCAAGTTTTAGGGAAAACTGGGCTTAGGGAGGAGGGTTGAAATAGAAATCCAAACAGTGCATGCCAGAGGGCAAAGTTCAGACAATTTCATTTCCTGTAGCTTGTCTAATACTTTAGCTACCACTTGCTGCCAAAACCGTGGCTTAAAAAATTCTAATAGGTGTAAGCAGAGACTATCTATACAGATCAGCAAAGTCTCCTGCTAGGAGAACATACATTGTTGTTGTTGTGTGCCATCGAGTCACCTGCAACTCATAGTGACCCTATGTACAACAGCCCTAAACTCTGCCCTATCCTGTGCCAATCTCACCATCTCCAACACACCCACCCCCATTACCTCAGTCACTGAGTCAATCCATCTCATCAAGGGTCTTCCTCTTCTGCACTGTCCCTCTACCCTCCCAAGCATGATGTCCCTCTCCAAGGACTGGTCCCTCCTTGCAACATGTCCAAAGTATGTCAGACGAAGTTTCAGAATCCTTGCCTCCAAGGAGCAGCCAGGCTTCACCCTCTCCAGGACAAACCTGTTTGTTTTCCTAGCCATCCATGGTATATACAATACTCATCTCCAACACCACAGAATGCACCTTGGTAGCTAATAAAAAAAAAAAGCAGATATTGACTGATGTTGTTGTTGTTGATTGCCATCGAGTCAAGCATGACTCATAGCGACCCTATGAAAAATAGACCTGAAGCTATTCTATAACTATCATCATTTCTCAAAGAAATGAATCATAGAATTTCCAAGGCCTGTTATTTAGGAAGTGGTGAAACAATTGACATAAGTAGTGAAAAGAGTAAGAGAACACTTAGGATAATGTTTATAATTGAAAGTGAGGGCAAGGGCTCTGGGTCTGTGGAGCCTAGAAGGCATATGGTGTAAGAGTTTCAGGATTTCCCTACAGCTGCTTCTTTCTGGACACTGGTGTATAACAGTTTGTTTCCCTGGAGCCATGCTGATCCCTAGGGTGCCATCAATAAACAGCAAGTGGTGGGAGGAGGGGGAGGAAGATTCTCACTCCCGAACTCTGTGCCAACATAGAGCCAGCACTAAGAAAGACTCCAGAGCTAGATTTTTGGAAGCTTTGACCTTTTCTTAGGTTTTATGATGCAGTACAATTCCTAAGCCTTCAAAGTCTATTTCTATATCATCCGGGAGGCAGGGCTTTATGAGAAGGAATGTGGCATCAGAATTGGAGGAAAATTCATCAACAACCTGCGTTATGCAGATGACACAACTCTGCTTGCTGGAACTGAAGAGGACCTGAAGCTCTTGCTGCAGAAGGTCAAGGACTGCAGCCTTCAATATGGATTGAAGCTCAATATCAAGAAAACAAAGATTCTCGCCACTGGGCCAATTGGAAGCATCATTATAGATGGTGAAGAGATTGAGATTCTTAACAGCTGTTTGCTGGGCTCCACAATCAAAACTCTTGGTACCAGCAGCCAGGAAAGCAAAAGATGAATTGCACTGGCAAAGTCTGCTGTCAGAGACCTCTCCAGAGTATTAAAGAGCAACGTTGTCAGTCTGGAGACAAAGGTGTGCCTGATCCAGGCCATAGTCTGCAATTGTTTGCTATGCATCAGAGAGAGCTGGACAATGACTAGGGATGATAGAAAGAGAATTGAGCTATGGTGCTAGAGAAGAGTATTGAATATACCATGGATTGCCAGGAGAACAAACAAGTTCATCATGGAGAGAGGGAAATCAGGTTGCTCCTTGAAGGCAAGGATTCTGGGGCTTCATCTGACATACTTTGGGCATGTTGCAAGGAGGGACTAGTCCTTCAAGAGGGACATCATGCTTGGAAAGGTGGAGTGATAGAGAAAGAGAGAAAGATCAGTGGATGAGGTGGCTTGATTCAGTGACTGGGGTAATGAGGGTAGATGTGTCAGAGACAGTAAATTTGTCACAGGATAGAGCAGGTTTCGGGGCTATTGTACATGGGGTCACTATGATTCGCAAGCAACTTGATGGCACATGACAACCACAAATTGAGATGCTCCTTAGAGGCAAAGCTGGTGAAACTTCATCTCACACATACTTCAGGCATATTGTCAGGAGGAGCAAGTTCCTGTAAGAAGACATCATGCTGGAAAAGGTAGAGGGTCAGGAAGACCCTCAACAAGATGGATTGGGACAAGGACTGTAACAATGGGCTCGAACATATCAGAAACTGTGAGAATGGTGCGGGATAGGTCAAGGTCTATCCAGATCTGCCATTGACAGTGTTGTTACGAGTCACAGTTGACTGGATGACACTTCATTGGATTCACAATAATAACCATTCGCTGAATGTTTAGTATGTTTAGAAGAAGGCTCAGAGTACTAGCTCAAGGTCTTGTTAGTAATGGTAAATAAAGCATTTTAACCCCAGTATGTTTTGCTGCAAAGCCCCTTTTTTAAAAAAAACTATTATGCTGTAATACATGTTATAGCGTTGATGTTGTAAAATAGTTAGCAAAGTATCTGGAACTTAGTAATTGCTTACTCTTTGCAATTGCATTCTATAAATATCATTTTTGCTTCTGCCACCATCTCCACCTTCTCTTTTTCATCTCCCTTGCCCTGTCCCTTCCTATAGTTTTCTCTTGTCAGGGTCTCCTGAAGGAACACAGTTAAATAAGCTGCTGTGTTTGTTATTAGGTGTCCTCAAGTAACTGTGACTAACAGCAACTGTATGAATGACAGAATGAAACCTTGTCCACTCCTGCACCAGCCTTGCAGTCTTTGCCATATTAAAGCCCATCGTTGGAATCCCCATGTGAATCTGCCTCATCGAGGATCTTCTTCTCTTTTGTTGACTTTCTCCTTTTCCAAGCTTGATACTTTAATATTGATAGGCTGGCTTTGGAGACAAATGACACATCTTGAGCTTAGCTCCATTTACTGCCTAGATGATCACTCCACCTCCCTCTGCCTCAATTTTTTTTTCTTTTATGAAGCAGGGACAACCTTGTGCCTGCCTCATAGGACTGCAGGAGGTAATGTATGTAAAATGCATCCTAAGCACTCAACAAATCTGCACTAAGACGACCCTCCTAAGGGATCTGTCCCCAGATAATGATAAGTTGCATCTGATGCGAAAGGCCCTGGATGACAGCCAGAAGCCTGTTTCGACAGTTTTGTAACCTGGGGCAGAAAACATTCCTCCCTTAGATGTCAATTTCCCTTTGGCAAATGAGATCAGGTGCTTCCCCCCCACCCTACCACCTCTCAAGGTCAGCAAGAGGTGAGACTGAACAGGAAAGCCATATTAGCGCAGCTTTGAAGAGGCAGACCTGATGCATGGATGAGAAGTTTTATGATTATGGCTTTGATCCAGCCCTTGGTCAGTGTCAGCAGATTTCTTAATCAATGGGACAAGGAGGTGCTGGGTACAGCCAGGGAGGCAAAGGGCTGTTTAGCAGTTACTTCTGGTTTTGAATGAAAATACTGGTGTGTGTGGGGGGGGGTGTGGTAAACCCTTCCCCTTCCATCCTTGAATCTCAAAATCCCTTTCTCATCTGCTAGGATGCCATGCTGGTGGCCCTCAAGAGCCTTTTGCCAACCTGCCTCTTCAATATCATCGGGTTTGGATCCACATTTAAGACTCTCTTCCCCTCCAGTCAGACTTACTGTGAGGTAAGGGGGGGGTACAGAGGTAAGGAGGGCTGAGACCAGAAGAGGGGAGGTGGTTTTCCCTCATTCCTGGAGAGAAAAAATGAAGAGAAGTTTGCCTTGGGCCCTGCCTCAGAATATACATCCAAACTGAATCCCAGATCCTATGCAAAGAAAGAGAAATGAGAAGACTCTCTGCTTAGGGAGTTTTCTGGCATCTCCACCTTCTGATATCCCTACCTCTAGCACACACATAAATACATTTAAAAAATTAAACAGTGTGCTGGGGGAAATATGTAAGTATGTAGAGATCAGATACAGGGAAGAGAAAAAAAAGGACACAGCCTAGACTTGACACCCACAAATGCTCAGCCTCAGAGGACAATACACTCATGCAAAGTTGAGCCAAGGTGTGGATGGGAAGGGATATAGATGAGTGAGTGACTGAGTGAGTGATGAGTGGATGCAGGCAAAGGATGCAATTTGGGACAAGAAGAACCCACCAGCATGTTTAAAATCGGGACATCCTACGGAGACCTACAAGCAGAGGGGAGCAAAGATAGAAGTGGGGGAAAGATAACAACTCTATAGATGGGGTTTTGTTCTAAATAAAATGTTTCTTTTATACTGGTTTCCTTCTATAGTTTTTTAAAATGCAAAAATACTATATGCTATTTGTCCACAAAATATTAAATTCAGATAATAAGTATTAAAAACACTAACAGCTTTCCATGATTATAGCACTCAAGGAGATCGGGAGTAGCGAGACTCACCAAAGCCTGTCAAAATTCCTCTGACCTTTTTCTTTGCATTTATACACACTTTGAAAATAGAATTAGGACTCATCTGCCCAATATTTCTAAGATGATAGACTTCCAGGAACGTATTTCCAGATCAGTAACAGCTCTGGTAGTACAGTCCTTAGGGAGTTGGACTACTAACCCAAAGACCACACCTCTGTGGAGGTTCAAATCCACTGGCTGCTCTGAGGAGGAATCATGAGCGGTCTCCTGCTGTGTGATTCTCAGCCTTGGAAACCCTCTGGAAAGTCAGCTATGCGTTGGGTCCAACTCAACAGCAAAGAGAGTATTCAGCAATGGCTAAATTCATTAATGGCTGTCTCCTTTTTTGCTCTTATATAATAGATAGGGACTCATTAATCTTCTAAAACTGGGCATTTAAGGAATGCTGGTGGCTTCATGGTAAGGAATCACACTGCCATCACAAAGCCGAGCAGTTTGATTATGCTGAGTGAACTAACTCAGTCACATAAGGATAAATATTGTATAAAACTGTCATTTTAAAATGAGTATAAGGATCTAAAAGGGTGGGAGAGGCCAGAAGCAGAGGAATGTGGATGTGCAGGGGGAAGGGCGGATTAATCATTGGGTTGTACAATTTGATGGGGGGGGTGAGGAAAATTGAAAGAATTTGTTCAAATTTATATTTGAATTTTGTAAATAAACTAGTAAAAACAACAACAAAAAAAACAAAAACAAACAAACAAACAAAAAACCAAGCCCAAAGCTGAGCAGTCTGAATCTACCAGCTTCTCCAAGGGAGAAGGATTGGCAGCCTCCTATGTGATTTACTGCCCCTGAAAATCTGCTAGAAGGTCAGTTATGGTTCAATCCCAACTCAATGGTATACAACAATACTAATAATATTGGGCATTTAGGTTACTTGCAAATTATTTTTTCCTATTAAGTCATCTTTATAGGATATATCTGTGTCTACTCTTTACAAGAATTTACAAGGATGTCCATCAGTGCTAGTAATCTTTGACTAGTTGTATCCTGCAAAGTAGCCCAGGAAGGAGAGAATTTGAAGCTCAGATTAGAGGATTGATTTCCTCAAAGTCTCATAGCAGGTTAGTGCCAGATTCATGACTAGGACTCGTCTTTAGATTTCTAGTCTAGTGTTCCTTCCATTATCCATCTGTCTCCCTCATCAGCAAAGGAAATATCATTGTTGCTGAGGAATCAGGGGCTTAGTACAAAGACTTTCCCAGGAATGTATTTAAAAAAAAAAAAAATAATGTCCTATAAAGGGTAATGGCAAGCTGATCTATACAACTGTTGGTGAGAGTTCAGGAATTTGTAGGGGAGATCATACAGAGTAAGATCACACAAAAAAATTAAGCAGACCCTCTTCCAATGAATAAAGATGAAATTGAGAACATAGGTCAATGCCATTGAGGTTTAACCAGAAACTAGGAAAACAAAGAGCTTGTCCTCCAAGAAGTCTCGAACTCCACCCTGTAATGGTGAACTCCGGGGATTCTGTGCCCCCTCCTGTGGCTCCTTCCTTGCAGGAGAGCTTGTCCATGGCCTGTGAGAGCATCCAGCGAATGCGGGCTGATATGGGTGGCACCAACATCCTCTCCCCTCTCAAGTGGATCATCCGGCAGCCAGTGCACAAGGGCCACCCACGGCTTCTCTTCCTGATCACCGATGGTGCCGTCAGCAACACTGGGAAGGTGCTGGAGCTGGTGCGCAACCATGCCTTCTCCACCAGGTTAGCCGGGGCCCAGTTATCCTGAGCTACCCTGGGCTGACAGTACCAGAATGGGAGGAAAATGTGGAAAATGTCTGAGGGAGAGAAGACTAATAATTCCTATGGTGCTTTACTCTCAAGACGATGTGAGTGGACTTTAGAGTTTGCCTTGCCCATCAAAAGTTCAGGGGGGATGAGTTGCCCACACCTCTGCATGTATCCCTCAGAGTAGCTTGTGTTTCTCTGGAAAAGGCAGTCTCTCCTCCTGCTTCGACTCTGACAAGGATGGAAAATGTATGGGCTGGACAAGTGTGTATGGGAATGCCTGTTGATGGCTCTTCTTCCTTCTTCCTTGTTCTCTACTTAAATATACAGTTAACTGTGACATAACTGTACTAGACTATGCCCTATCCCTTTTCCTCCATCAAGGACTAAAAACTACAGAGAGGTTGTGAAGCACGAGCCCCTCTCTTCCCTTTTGCAGGTGTTACAGCTTTGGAATTGGACCTAATGTCTGCCACAGACTGGTGCAAAGACTGGCCTCTGTGTCCAAGGGCAGTGCTGAGTTCCTGGAGGAGGGAGAGCGGATTCAGCCCAAGGTAAGTAGAAGGACCTCAGTCTCTTCTGGTGGTAAAACCTCCGAAGTCCAGACTAGCTATCTGATAAACCAGTAACAGATGGGATTTCACCCCAAAGCTGAACTCTCCACTCAACCACATTACACTCCAGTGACAACCATAATGGTGTCACAGAGTAGGTGACCCCAGGATCTAGTATAAGATCACTCTATCTACTGGCTAGACAAGATTAGGATCCCTGAATGAGTCACTGCCTTTATGGCAGTGTTTAGAGGAATTTCTAGCCAAGTTCTTGATAATGACAAATGCAGGCTCAGAAGATTCTAAAGAGCCCAGAAATTATGTATTCTAGAACCTCCTTTCTATTATTTGTGCAACTGTCATAGATTATCCAGCCCTTAGAAAATCTCCACATCAGTCCATGCCCTCTAGGAATCAGACACTAAAGAAACTAAGAGTTGAAAGTGCAAGAGGTTTATTGTGAGACATGGCTATGAACAATGAAAGAGAAAAGAGAAAGGAAATTCTTCAATTCATCATACAGATCCAGCACCTAATAAAAGAAAGGGAAGAAGACTTGAACAAGGAGAGACTCAGACTGAGATGCAAAGCTCAGCCAACCTGCCAAGGAGCTCTGGGTCAGATGGCCTATAAGGAGAGTCTGCATTGACCTAAAATGTCCTGGCACTCTTGTTTCTGCTCTGCTTGGTCATTGGACGGAGGCTTCCAAGAAGAAATGTGATCTTGATCTTGTCTCACAAGCTGGGACACCTGCAGGCGTCACCTAACTGCATTTCTTGCATTGAAAATGCATGTCCTTTCTTAAAGTGTAATGTGAGCAGCCTAGCTCCATGGCAACCACACCTCAACTCATTTGTCTCCTGCTTTGCAGACATCAGGGGAAATTAACCTAGGAGTTACCTAGCCACAGCTGTCATTTCCTGAACACTATGTGGTAGATACTTCAGACTGCAATATCTAAAGTAATCCTTCCAACCACATTTCAAGTTAAGGATTATTGTCTCTCTTCAACAGAAGGGAAAACTGAGACCCAGGAAAGCAAATTAACTTGTGCAAGATCATTAGCTGACCTATGTCTTAACACAATTGTTTTGTGTAGCTTTAGGCAAGCCAGATCCATACTTTGAGCATTCCTTTCCTCATTTGTAAAATACAAGGCTTAGAGAATATGATATCAAAGGTCTGTTCCAACTCTAACATCCTAGAAGGCTAAGTCTCAGACTTATGTTTACGGCTGGGCAAACCCCCTCTAGGTCCTGTCCTTTTCTCCTTGCACATATTACCTCGTTGTCATGCCCACAGCTTCTTGATACTCCTACCTGTTGACAGCACTGCTCATTTACACTCCCTCCCTCTGTTCTGACCTTCCCCGACAGATGGTTAAGTCCCTGAAGAAAGCCATGGCCCCAGTTTTGAGTGATGTGACTGTGGAATGGGTCTTCCCTGAGACCACTGAAGTCCTCATCTCCCCTGTCAGCACCAGCTCCCTCTTCCCTGGCGAGCGGCTGGTGGGCTATGGCATTGTGTGTGATGCTTCCTTGTACATCTCCAACCCGCAGTCTGTAAGTATCCTAGAAATTCCCGAGACTAATGAAAGTCCACAATCCATGGCCATAAAGCAATTTTTTTAGCTGGAAAGACTCTACTTATGACAGCTAGGAACAAGTTGGAGCTAAACTTGTAGCTGTAGGGTATAATTTCCAGGACATAGACTTTGATCATGATGACATCTTTTGGGTAGATGCCACCATCTTAAAATGTGCTTCTCAGAATCTCTGCAGCAGAGAAAAACTTGGATGATTTGTTTTAAAAGCAGAGCCCTAACTTCAACTAGTGTCACTGAGTCATATCTCATAAGAGTAGGATCCAAGAATATGCATTTTACATTAATCTCCTTTAAGTACTTTTGATATAACCTCTTTATCTTCTTACATCCTCATGTCTCTTTAGATGAGTTTATACTCTAATTCTTTGTGCACATAATTCCTTTTACATGGTGACAGAAGTGAGATAAAAGAGACTTCTCAAAGGGAGCAAGGATGTGTGCTGAATTATGGGTTAGTGCCAGGAAAGTTTGTTTCTTCATTTCTTTTTCATCTTTAGTGAACATTCTCTCCATGCTTCCCTCCAAAGATTTCCCATCTTATTTCACTTTTCAGTGAGAACCCCAAATTCAAAGTCCTAAAGAGACCTGGTAGGTATAAGAAAATTAAATCAATATAAGGATAAAAGGTGCAATACCGTGATGAATTAAAGATTACCACTGAACTCGTAATTGGTGAGACAATAGGGAATGGTGGGCATTGTAGCAAGCTGGCTACCAAATGCCCTGTCTACATTGAGAAAGTCCCGATTTGGCTATAGAATGCCATTGCCAGACAGAAAAATTAGTCTCTAGGTTAAATTTGTTTTCAATTTTTCCAGGGAAGTTGGAATTTGATGCAAATTTCCATATTGTTTTCATATTAAGAACCACTAAGGTAATAGTTAATATGTTATGGAGTGTGGAGTGTTCAACTACACAGAGAAAATGATAAATTGGCTAAGAGCCCAGGACCTCCTCGGAGATCAAAGAAACAATGGATTATCAACCAACCCTCCCCAACAAAATCATCAGTTTCATTCTCCTTTTCTTACATGTTGTTGTGATGTGCTGTTGAGTCAGAATCGACTCATAACTGGTCTTCCGGTAGGCTTTCAGAGGCAAGCAAGAAGAGCACAGAAGGAGATTGGATTAAAGATGACTACACCTTTCTTCCATGGAGCAGCTGGTGAAATAACAGCGTGCCTTCGGGTTGACAATGAAGCTCCTTACTAGAACTCCAGAGCTCAATCTCTTACATGAGGCTGGAGAAGTTTTCTTCTGCGATTGATAAGCATGTTGGACAAAGGCTCTACTCATCCACTGCTGGTGTAAATGTAACTTGACACAGCTGTCTTTGAAAGCAATCTAGCAATGTTAATAAAGATAGAAATTGCTCAATGAAGAAATCCTTTTCTTAGGAATGTAACCTGTAGAAATAAAAGGAATATAATAGACTGATGTCCAAGATTTATTGTTGTTGTCGATTGCTTTCAAGTCAAGAATGATTCATAGCAATCCCAGGAACAAAGGCCTGAAGCATCTCTACAACTATCGACATTTTTCAAAGTTCATAGAGTTTCTAGAGGCATATTATTTAGGAAGTGGATGCCACTCCTGCTTCCAAACCTGTTATAGTATGTTATTGTTGTTATGTGTCATTGAGTCACCTGCAATGTATAGTGACCCTGTATACAGCAGCTCTGAACCCTTCCCTGTCCTGAGCCAGTCTCTTTACACATGTTGCTAGGAGAGGCTATTCTTTGGATAAGGACATGATCTGGGAAGGGTGGATGGTTGATGAGGGAGAGGAATACCCTCAACGAGGTGGATTGATGCAGTGACTGCCGCAATAGGCTCTGTGTGTCAGGAAGCGTGAGGATGGCACAGGATAGAACAAGGTGCAGATCTTTTGTTCATAGGGTCGCTATGAGTCGTACTCGACTCAATGGCACCTAACAACAACAGCAACAAAAAATAAGTAAATGGCCACAAGTTGAATGCCTAACAGTAGGAGAGGTAGAACACTGTACAGCCAAATGTTAAAGAAAAATGGTCATGTAGCTTTTATGAAATGTTGAACTGCAAATTCAAAACCAGCTAAAAAAACAATGACAAAAACCGGTTGTTGTTCAGTCAGTTCCAGCTTGTAGCAATCCCATGTGTGTCAGAGACTAACTGTGCTTTGTAGGGTTTTCAATGCCTATTATTTGGAAGTAAGTGGTCAGATCTCTCTTCCCAGTTTCCTCCTAATAGACTTAAATATCTAACAACCTTTCAGTTAGCAGCGAAGCATGTAAACCATTCACACCACTCAGGGACTCCTTGAAAAATTAATAAAACTGCAAAATGTAAGCAATATGGTCCAGTAAAAGTCCCATGATTTTTAATATAGATAAATACCCCCACACATATATACACATTTACATCACAGAGAAAGGATGTAGGGAATAGATGGTTAAATTTGTTAATTCTGTTACCATTTTGGGTCAAGAATCAAATTTATAATTAATTTTTTATTTTATTATTTGTGTGTGTGCGTGTACCGTCAAATCAGATCTGACTGGTACAGGAGGAGATTGTCCCTCCTTTCCCGGCAGAGCATCTGGTGGATTCGAACCATGCACCTCTGGGATTGCAGTGCAGCTTCTTGCCACTAGGCCACCAGAGCTCCCCTAATTAATTTTTTTAAATGTAAAGTAATCATATAATGAAAATTCAAAATGATAGCATAGAATTATCACATGATCTAGCAAGTCCACTGCTAGGTGTGCACCCAAAATAATTGAAAGTAGAAACTCAAACAGACTCATGTGCATCACAGTTCATTCACAATAGCCAAAAGATGGAAACAGTCCAAGTGTTCATTAAGAGATGAAAAGATAAAATATTATATATGCATACAATGGAATATTATACAACAACTATAAAGATGAGTTCACCTGGAAAACACTATATCGAGTGAAATAAGTCAGACATGAATAAATGTTACATTATCCTACTCAGATGAACTACTTATCAAGATCAAAGAAGATTACTGGTCACTAGGGCCTAGAGATGGTCAAGACCCTCCACTGCCAACCAGGTTGGTAGTTCTTCTTACTCTGCAGGAGAAAAGACCTGAGGATCTGCCTCTGCAAAGAGGATAGCCTATGAAATACTATGGGGCATTTCTACTTTACTATATGAGGTCAGAATCAACCTGAGGCACCCAGAAACAACAGGAGATAGGAAAAGGGTAGGGCACAATAAAGAGTTGAGGAAAAAGTCAAATCACTTTGAATTTGCCTATTACCATCTAATTAATGAAAATGTAGATTAATTAATTCATTTCTAAGAGAGTATTTGTGCAATGATAGCTTAGTAGTAAGGAGTTGCACTCCTAGCCCAAAGACACATGGTTCGAATCCACCATCTGCTCCATAGGAGAAACATGGGCAAGCTCCTCCATTGTGATTTATAGCCTCTGAAAACCCACTGGAGAATCAGCTGAGTTGGTTCTGACTAGACAGTACACAACAAAAACAAAGTAAATATTTAGCACTTATGAAACAACGAAATAATAAAAATAAGAGAGATAAAAAGACAATTTCATTTGCCAGCTCTCGAACAAAAATTTGCCTAAATTTCCTAGCCAAAATATCATTATTATGCCTCTTTTTTTTTTTCTTCTTCAGCGATGGAGCCATCACCCCCTCTTCTAAACTCCTTTTGCTATGCCCTGGAAGTGAAGTGCTTCCTGACTCCTAGCCTCATCCTCAGCCATGTTTTCTCTCTACTCTCCAGGACAAGAGGCGGCGGTACAGCATGCTCCACTCTCAGGAGTCCAGCAGCTCCGTCTTCTATCAATCACAGGACGAGGGCTCTGGTCCCGAGAGCAGAGACTGCACCAAGAGCTCGCCTGTACCCTCCAGCCTGCAGACCAAAGATGGCCAGCAGTCCAGCAGAGACTCCACCATTAACCCCAGTGAGTATACAGGGAGGCTCTGCTAACCCCACCTTGTACTGAGCACCTACTATGTGCTAAGAACTTTATAAAAACTTTCTCATGGGATATTTAAAACAGCTGCAGAGATAGGTACTCCTATCCATTTCACAGCATATTTTGAAGCACTCTAAGCTTAGAGAGCTCAGGTAGAGTAGGCCATAGAGATTTGCACTAACTGAAAGCACTCTACCAGTTCAAAGCCACCAGTGACGTGGCCAAAGAAGTTGAACAATCTCCTCCTGTGCAATTTACAGCCTTCTGAAAACCCACTGGAAGGTCAGTTGAGTCAGTTCTGAATCAACAGCAGTGAGTTTTTAGTAAGTTTATAATGAAGTTTGAAAGAGGTTATTGTTATTATTGTTGGTTGACATTGAATTGATTCTACTTCATAGAGCCTTTATGTATGAAAGAGAAAGATATTGTCCAGTCCCGTGCCGTCTTCACAATTATTGGTGTATTGTTGGTCCAGTATTATGGCTATTATGTCAATCCATCTCACTGGAAGTTTCTCTCATTTTCACTGACTCTACATTACCAAATATATTCTTCTCTAGCAACAGGTCTTTCTTAATGATGTGTCATGAAGTGTTCCCTATTTTTTCAGCTGTGCTGGAGATAGTGAGGATAGGGCAAGTTTCAGAGCCATAGGGTCATTATGAGTTGTAGTAGACTCTATGGCACATAACAACACAACAACAATGATATGTCCAGATAAGCAAGCAGAACTCTCACCATATGGGCTTCTAAGAAGCATCCTGACCTAGACAGAGTCTAGACTGAGTCCAAAGCTTTTTTATGGTTGTTCATTTCCATCTTAAGGTGGTGACCAATCACTTTCTAATGCTAAGGACTGAGGACAGTTGGCAGCAAAGATAACTCAAAGGTAGACTCTATCCTTCATATCCTTCAGAAGCTTGAGAGAGAGAGGGAGAGAGAATTGACTTTGATTCAGAGATAAAGCAGAATGACAGACACCCTAGAAAGGTGATCTCTGATAGATAGCAGAGCAGAAGGGGCCCCAGAAATGCATATTGAATGGAAGAAATCAACAATGGCTTAGTGGAGAGGAAGTGGGAACAATGGTACATAAGAGATGAAAGAGAGAGGACATCCTAGGCAGCAGACAAGCCTGAGCACAGATAAGAAAATGTGGTACCTAGAAGACATACATGCTTAGCTAGTTTACTCTGAATACAAATATCTAAAAGGAGGAGACAAAAGGTGAGTAGCCAGGAAGATAGGTTCAGATAGCAAGACTTCAAATGTCAGCTGAGCTTCACATACTTCAGCCTGTAAGCCATAGAATTTTCCAAGCAGGAAAGGGACATGCAACTCCCTCTCCTTTTCCCTCCCCGATGGATTCACTGTTACCACCCCCAGATCTGATCCTCTCCCAGCGACGGAGGGCATACAGCACCAACCAGATATCCAGTCCCAAGCCCTCCCCAAGGGCCACCACAGCCAGTGACCCCACAACAGCTGCCAAGAAATACCCACTACGGAAAGCCAAGCTGCAGGACCTTCTCAAACAGACCAGCATGGATGTCCAGCAGTGGCAGGTCAGTTTACTCAAGCTGGATGGGAAGGTAGGGGTGAGTTTGGGAGAGGGCATGGGTGTGGATGACTGCATCTCCTGCTCTAGCTATAAGGACTGATCTGTCCATATCCTACATTGCAAAGTGAACTTTTCCCTTTTCTGGATCTTTATCTCCTTGATCTTCACCACGCCTTTCTAATGTTGATGCCCAACAATGAGCTCACTCATTCTCTATGCACAGATATTTATTGGGAGCCATCCTTAAGCAGAGTATTGTCCTGGGGATTGGCTAACAGATGAAATGCCTAGAGTAATATCTGGTACATAATAAACCAGCATGTTCAACCAGTGATACTAAGTCTATCTCAATCATAGCAACCCCATGAGGTACCATGTGTAGATGTCCTATAAAAGGCCACTCTGCTTTGGTAAGAACGCTGGGCAAGTTGGCATCTCTTCCTATTGTTTTTGTTTTTGTAGTTTTTTAATTGTTTTTGTTGTTATTCTTTAATCCTCTACTTTTCCAAGAATAATGTCTTTTTTTCAAGGACTGATGCCTTCTAACAACATGGCCATGGTATGTGACATGAAGTTTTATCACCTTTGCCTCTAAGAAATACCCTGACTGCACTTCCTCAAAGATATTTGTGGGTTTGTTTTTTTTGCCAATTCATGGCATATTCAATTCCCTTCACCAACACCACAATTCAAGGGCATCAACTCTTCTTCAGTCTTCCTTAGTCATTGTCTAACTTTCCAATTATGTGAAGCAACTTGAAAAGGTCAGACTTGGATCAGGTGCACTGCACCTTAGCCTTTAAACTGACATCCTTGCTTTTTATCATTTTAAAGGGTACTTGACAGCAAATTTGAAGTGCAATCCTTCTTTTGATTTCTTGACTTCTGCTTCCATGAATTGATGCCTTTGAGCTGTGGTGCTGGAGTACAGTATTGAATATACTATAGATTTCTAAAAGAACAAACAGGTTCATCCTGGAGAGGGTGAAACCAGGCTGTTCTTTGGAGGCAAAGATTCTGAATCTTCATCTGACATCCTTTGGGCATGTTGCAAGGAGGGGTCAGTTCTTGGAGGGAGACATTATGCTTGGAAGTTAGAGAGAGAGCACAGGAGGGGAAGACCCTCAATGAGATGGATTGACTCAGTGACTGGAGTAATGAAATAGGTGTGTCAGAAACAATAAGCTTGGCTCAGGATAGAGCGGGAATTAGAGCTGTTGTACATAGGGTCGCTATGAGTCGTAAGTGACTCAACCACACAAAACAACAATTTCCATGTACTGTGATTGTACTCGACTAGACTTGTACTCATCCTTCCTGATGTTGCCAGTGGGTCTAGTAGTGAGAATGTTTGTTATTTTTAATGTTGAGTTACAATCCATACTGAAGGCTGATTTTCATCTTATTCGGTTAAGTGACTCAAGTCGTCTTCACTTTCTGTAAGCAAGACCACAGAAAAAAGATCCGTCAATTTTTGGAATTGAAAACTATTAACTAATTTAATTAGCCTGTGATACATATGGGATTACCTGAGTCAGGACAGACTTGTCAGCAACTACATTTAAAAGGGATTGTGTTGTGTTGTTACAGTTCGATTTGAAGACTTTCCCCCCCTAAATTGGCAGGTGTCTAGACAGTTTGTAGATTTTCACTTTTACAAACAGCATTGCAAGAAATGCTAATTGTTGTTGTTTTGTGCCATTAAGTCAACTATGACTCATATTGACCCTATGAACAATATCTTTGAACCCTGCCTTATCCTGAGCTGATCTCACAGTCTCCAATACACCTGTACTGAAAGTATGTGAAAGTACTCAATGTATTTGAGACAGAATTTCAAACTCCTTGTTTCCAAGGAGCAACCTGGTTTCACTTCACCAGGACAGACTTGTTTGTTCTCTTGGCAGTTCATGGTATGGTCAATATTCTCCAGCATTACAATTCAGACTCAATTATTCTTTTATCTTTAGTGATTGTCCAGCTCTCTGATGCATGTTGTTGTTGTTATGTGCCGTCAAATCGCCTGCGACTCATAGCTACCCTATGTACAACCCTAAACTCCGCTCTGTCCTGTGCCAATAGCACTGTCTCTGACACTCCCATCCCAATTATCCTAGTCACTGAATCAATCCACCTCATAGAGAGCCTTCCGGTCTCTCCTCACAACATGTCCAAAGTATGTTAGACGGAGCCTCAGAATCCTTGCCTCCAAGGAGCCACCCAGTTTAACTCTTTCCAGGACAAATCTGTTTGTTTTCCTAGCAGTCCATGGTATTCTCAATACTCCTCTCCAGCACCACAGCTCAAAGGCATCAATTCTCCTTCTATCCTCCTTGGTCATTGTCCAACTCTCTGATGCATAACAGGTGATTGTGAAGACCATGGCCTGTATCAGATGCACCTTAGTCTCCAAAAAGATACCATTGCTCTTCAGCACTCTGGAGAGGTCCCCAACAGCAGACTTTCCCATGGCAATGCGCCTTTTAATTTCCTGGCTGCTGGTGCCAAGACTGTTGACTATGGAGCCAAGCAAACTAAAGCTGTGTACAATCTCAATCTCTTCACCATCCATCCTGATGCTGCCAATTGGTCCAGTGGTGAGAATCTTTGTCTTCTTGACATTGAGCTTCAATCCATATTGTAGGCTGCAGTCCTTGACACTCTGCAGCAAGCACTTCAGGTCCTACTTGGTTTCAGCAAGCAAGGTTATGTCATCTGCATAACGTAGGTTGCTGATGAGTCTCCAATTCTGATGCTACATTCCTCCTCATAAAATCCAACTTCCCAAGTGATGTTTCACATATAGATTGAAAACATATGGAGACAGGATGTATCCCTGGTGCACTTCCTTCCTGATTTTGAACCATGCAGTGTTTCCTTGCTCTGTTCTGATGATTGCTTCCTGGTCCAAGTATGGGTTTCGCATAAGCACAACCAAGTATTCTGTGATTCCCATTCTCCTCAAGATTAGTCACAATTTGTGGCTGCACACAGTCAAATGCCTTTGTATAGTCAATGCTGGATCTATTCAATTTAATGGTGAGACTAATGGACCCCCTTCTGGCTAGGCTAACATACTCTATTCACATATTACTCCTACGCATCCACAAGGCAAAATCAGTCAATGTCTAGGGAAGCCATTTTGAACAATGAATCCTTAACAGCACAATGTTGTTGTTGCGTATCTGGAGTTGGAATTGACCCATAGCTGACTCTCTAGTGGATTTTCAGAGGCAATAATTCTCATGGGAGATTATTGCCCATGTCACTCTCTCTTGGAGCAGCTAGTAGATTCGAACTACATACCTTTGGGTTCGCAGCGCAATTCTTTACCTCTAAGCCACCAGAGCTCCACATTTAAATACGTAACTATTTAAGAGAATTTGTTCTTGAAAACAATTTATTCTAATTTTGTAAATAATCTCGTAGAAAAAATAAAAATGAGACAAAATTCTAGATTATATTTTCAGCACAGAAGATCTAAGCATGGCATTATGAAAAGGCATAAGGGAAAAGAGTAATAATTTTAACTACATACCCATAGACACAAAATTTTAAACATCATGGGGGGTGGAATGTGAGTTCAGAATCCATGGTTTGGAGATTATACACAGTTTGAGATCGTTGTACTGATATTTCTCATGGGTAAGGAAAATGAACAGAGTGCCTGAGCTCCCCAGGAAGGCCTGTGGTACCCAGGAAAAGAGCTGGGGCTAAGGGCTGGGGGTAGATAGGGGAGAGTTGCAGACACTGGACTCAGCTTCCCTCTTCCCCTCATAGCCCTTGCTGAACAGTGGCCAGAACATCGGCCAGAGCTCCAAAATCCAGGGTCCAGGCTCTCGCAGACCCTCTCTGCTGCCCCAAGCCTTCCAGCCCATCCTGCCTTCCAGCCAAGAACCCCAAAACTGGAACTCCTTCAGGGAACTGAATCTCGGGTCCAGTTTGACGTTTCCCTCAGACCACCGTAGCCCTGGGGACCTAGGTAAGTGCCTGGAGGGCCAAGATTATGACTGGGGGGGAGGGAAGAGCTGACCTCCGCACAGCTGCAGATGACAGGCCCAGATGACAGACAATATGCTCCCGTGTTCCCTTGGAGGTGTGCTGTGGCCAGTCTCTCACTGACCACCTTATCAATCTCAGTCAATATGGCCTGTGAAGACTGCATTCTGCGCTACCGGATGTCTCCCCTCACCCTGTCTGGACCCCTCTGGTGATTGGCTTCCTGGGTTATAGACCTCCCTTTCCATGGAGTGAGAAGGCTGGCCTTCGCAATGCCTGATCCATGAAGAGATAATATGCCCAGAGGCCTGGTCATCTGTCTCCATGTTCTGTGCATGGTCCTTGTCCCTCCATCCACAGAGCCCTCTCAGCATCCCTCCTCTGCCTTTGAGACAGAGACGTCCTCGGACTGGGAGCCCCCGGCTGAGCCCGAGGAGAGGGTGAGTCCCGACAGACCAGCCACCCCAGGCATCGTGCTGGGCAAAGCAGTGGTCTCGGGCCTGCAGGATAGCCAACGACTGCAGTGGGAGGTGAGTTTCGAGCTGGGGCCTCCCGGTCCGGAGCAGAGAGGCGCACAAGACGCAGATTTATGGAGCGAAACCTTCCACCACCTGGCGGCCCGCGCCATCATCCGTGACTTTGAGCAGCTGGCGGAGCGCGAGGGCGAGATTGAGCAAGGTGAGTGCGGCAGGCTCCCCTCGCTGCTCCCCACCCCTTGCCGTCCCATTCATTGCCAAAGGCGGAGCGTGGGGGTGCTCACCACACCGGGAACGCCCCTTCCCACAACCTTGCCCTGCCCCATGATCCTCACACCCCTACTGCTCCTGGGATCCGCCCTCTGGCCCCTGCAGCTGGGCTGCCTCCTCCACCTCATTCTCCCCATCCTAACCTCGACCCCCAAGATCCTCCCCCCATCCTCCTGCCCACCCCCACGGCTGTCCCCCTCCCCACAGACCCATCCTATGTTCCACCCCCACCCCTCTCTTTCCAAGGCCTCCACATGACCCCTGACCCCAGCCCAGTTCCAAGCTCCAATGTCTGTCTTTCCACTCCCTTCCCACCCAGTAGCCCTCCTCCCTTCCTCTTCCTTTCTCTAGGTCTCTCTCCCCCTCACCTAGCGCCTGGCACTGGAACAATAGAGACAGCTATGCCCTGTTCCCAGTCGCCTAGCTGCTCACCCATTCAGTAACACCCATTGTTTGCTGCTAATGGTGTGGGCCCGGCTCTCCCACTGTACCTTGTACAGAGCAGTGAACTTCACTGTGCCTGACCTTATCCTGAGTACTTGACGTAGACTAGTTGGGGAGCAGACATTACAACAACATTCACTTAAAGAAATAATTGAGTATCTTTGTCTTGAGAGCTGGCTGCCCTCATGTAGCTGTTTGAGAAATCATCTGCTAACTGAAAACGTGGCAGTTCAAGTCTGCTTCTTGGGGAAAGATGTGACATTCAGCTTCCAAAAAAGATTTACAACCTAGGAAAAAACCTTATGAGGCTGCTGTGAGTTAGAATTGATTGACTGGATGGGTTAAAAGGTTTGAGACCTACCTGGATGTGGGAGATTGTGTAACACGGTGGCAAGACCTGCGTTGGTCTAGAAATTGGTAATATGTGAGATGGAGCGCATTTGAAAAATACATAGATTTCAATTTTATAGGTCCCTGGGCAGCACAAACCGTTGAAGGCTTAGCTCTTAGCTGAAAAGTTGGAACCCACCCAGAGACACTTGGGAAGATGCTTTTGAAATGTCACGTCATTAAAAACCCAATGAAGTCATTCTACCCTGCACCCAAAGGGTGACTATAAATAGAAATCTACCCAACTACAACTAATGACAACATTAATAGTGTCACCTGCCTTCACATGGACTCCATTGTGACAACAGAAAGAGACTTTGCCCAGCCTGGCACCATCTTTCACTGTCCACAGATCTGGTGATGTGCTATTATTTCCCACGGAGGGTCTCCCTCACACTCACTAGCCTTCTACTTTACTAAACGTGATGTCCAAAGTGGTCTAAACATGATGTCTAGAGCGGTCACTTCCTCCTTATGACATGTCCAAAGCAAACAAGTTAGACAAAAAAAATTGTGATCCATAAAATTTTCAATGGCCAATGAGCTGTATAAAGAACATGACAATTAGCCCAAAGGACACATGGAGTATATGAACTCCACTGCTTTGAGATCTGACAGCTTCGTGGTAAGGAATTGCAACACCAACCCAAAGTTGCATGTTTCAAATCCACCTCTGCTCTGTGGGAGAAAGATGTGCTTTCTCCTCGCATGAGATTTACTGCCTCTGGAAACCCACTGAAGGGTCAGTCACCTGTGAGTCACTTCCAACTCGATGGTGCTCAACTACCACCTCCAGATCAGAACAGGATGGTTCTCAGCTGCCAGTGCTGACCACGCTGAAAGGAATCACAATAAAGGGTCTTAGGCCAAATGCTGAAGAAAAGTGTGGAACAAAGCTTTTTTTTTTTTAAAGGCCTGGTTTGTTGGTCTAACAGAGGCTAGTAGAGCCCTCAAGTCTAAGCCATTGAGCCTAGAATTAAACATACCCCTGTGGCTCAACTTTAGATAAACAATTGTTGTTGTTTTTGTTAGGTGCCATTTAGTCGAGTATGACTCATAGCAACCCTATGAACAAAAGATCTGAGCCCTGTTCTATCCTCACACTTCCTAATACACAAGAGCCCATTGCAGCAGTCACTGTGTCAGTCCATCTGGCTGAGGGTCTTCCTCTCCTTCACCGACCCTCTATCCTTCCCAGCATCGTGTCCTTCTCCAAGGAACAGACCCCTCCTAGCCACATGCCCAAATCCTCATCATTCTTGCCCCCAAAAAGCACTCCAGCTACACCATCATAAGCTAAACTGTAACACTGAGAAGGTACTCCCTCCTTAAAACAGCCCATCATATGAGATCATAAAGGCAATATTCCCCTCAGAAGTCACATAGGAATAGAAGGATGAGGGAAAATATGAATCACAAGGATAAGGTGGGAAGAGAGTTAGCACAATATGGGACAATAATTCAAGCCATGAAGCAAAATCTGCATGAATAATTGAATGGAAAACCAATTGTATGTAAACTTTCACTCAAATAACTTAAAAATTACATATTCATTGCTATTGAGTTAGAATAGACTCCTAGCTTATCTTTCTGGGGAAAAAAATTTTAAAAAAAAGAAGATAGCCTAGGGTTGGAGGAAGACTCAGTAGCAACCAGTGATACACAGATGATACAATCTTGCTAAAATGAAGACTTGAAGCACTTACTGATGAAGATCACAGACTATATATACATACATATATATATATATATATATCCTTCAGCATGGATTATATCTCAGAGTAAAACCCCTCATCATTGGGTCAAGAATAAATGGAGAAAAGCTGAAGTTGTCAAGTATTTCCTTTTACCTGGCCCTACAATCAATGTCCATGGAAGCAACAGTCAAGACATCAAATGACATATTGCACTGAAGAGTGCTAACAAGCAACAGTGTCATTTTAAGGACTGTGTGCTTGACTCAAGCCAATCACCTCATATGTGTGTTACACAGCCTTGCTTGCTGAAGCTGAGAAGGACCTGAAATACTTGCTGCAGAAGGTCAAGGACTGTAGTCTTTAATATAGAGTGAAGTTCAACATCAAGAAGACAAAGATTCTCACCACTGGGCCAATTGGCAGCACCATGATGGATGGAGAAGAGATTGACGTTAACAGTTACAGCTTGCTCAGCTCCACAATCAACACTCTTGGCACCAGCAGTCAGAAAATCAAAAGACGTCTTGCACCAGGTAAATTTGCAGTCAGGAAGCCTTCAAGAGTACTGAGAAGTAATATGTCAGTCTAGAGATTAAGGTGTGCCTGATTCAGGCCATAGTCTTTGCAAATTATTTGCTAAGCATCAGAGAGCTAGACAATGACTAAGGACGACAGAAGAATTGATACCTTTGAGTTGTGCTGTGGGAGAAGGTTCTTGAATGGACAATGGACCACTAAGAAAACAAACTAAGAAGCTCTATCTCACATACTTTGGGCAGGTGACCATGAGAGACTGGTCCTTGGAGAAGGATATCATGCTCAGAAGGTTGGAGGGACAGTGCATGAGAGGAAGACCCTGGGTGATACAGTTAGAAGGACAATGGAGGTAGGTGTGTCGGAATTAGTGACACTGGCTCAGAGCAGAGCAGGACAGAGCAGGCTGCAGAGCTGTTGTACATAGGATCACTATGAGTCACAGAAAACTTGACAGCACATAACAACATATGCGTGTAAAAGTTGGGTACTGAATAGAATATGTAACACTGAAGAGAAACTGATGATTCTGAATTTTGGTGTTGATGAAGAATATTGAATATATTGTAGACTGTCAAAAGAACAAACAAATCTGTCTTGGAAGAAATGCAGCCAGAATATTCCTTAGAAGCAAGAATGAGGAGACTTGTCAGGAAGGACAAGACCCTGGTGAAGGACATCATGCTTGATGTGGCAGAGGGTAATTGAAAAAGAAGGAAAGCCTTCGCAAGGTGGATTGCCATAGTGGCTACAGCGGTGGGGTCAAGCACAGAAGTGAGGACAGTGTTTCATTCTGTTTTACGTAGGATGATGATGAATCTGAACCAACTCGTTGGCCCTTACCAACAATGTTTGGAGGTCGATCACTAGGTCTTTCTCCTTAGTTTGTCATAGTCTAGAACTTCCTGTCCACATGTGGGTGACCCCACTAGTATTGGAAATACTGGTTGACATAGCTTTCAGCGTATCAGCAACACGCAAGCTATCACAGTATGACAGACTGACAGATGAGTGGTGGGAAAAGATAAGTAGGTAGATGATAGATAGATAGATAGATAGATAGATAGATAGATAGATAGATAGATAGATAGATAGATAATGACATTTTATAGTGTTAAATGTTTAGTCTTATTTGTAAAAAAATATGTTGTATATATATTGTTGTTACATAACTTTGAGTCACCTTCAACTCATAATGACCCTATGCACAGCTTGAAGCCTGCCCTTGTCCTGAGCCAGTCTCACTGATTCCCACACACCTACCCCCAATTGCCCCAGTTACTGTATCAATTCATTTCATCCAGAGTCTTCCTCTTCTGAACTGTCTCTCTACATCAAGCATGATGTCCTTCTCCAAGGACCAGTCTCTCCTGGCCATGTGCCCAAATCATGTGAGACAGCTTCAAAATCCTAGCCTCCAAAAAGAAACTTGGTTTCACCCTCTCTGAGACAGACATATTTGTTTCCTTGGTGGTCCTTGGTATATGCAAGACTCTTCTCCAGCACCACAACTTGAAGGCATTAATTCCTCTTCTGTCATTCTTAGTTATTGTCCAGCTCTCTGAAGCATAACAAGTAATTGTGAAGACTTTGGCCTTAATTAGGTGCACTTTAGTCTCATACTGACATTGTTGCTCTTCAGCACTCTGGAGAGTGCCCTGACAACAGATTTTCCCTATGCAATTCATCTTTTGATTTCCTGACTGCTAGTGCTATGAGTGTTGATTGTGGAGCCGAGCAAACTGCATTTGTTAACAACTTCAATCTCTTCTCCATCTATCATGATGCTGCCAATTGGCCCGGTAGTGAGAATCTTTGTTTGCTTGATGTTGAACTTCAATTCATATTGAAGATTGCAGTCCTTAACCTTTTGTAGCAAATGCCTCAGATCCTCCTCAGTTTCAGCAAAGTTGTGTCATATGCATAATGTAGGTTGTTGATGAGTCTACCTCCAATCCTGATGCCGCATTTCCTCCTCATAAAGCCCAGCTTCCTGAATGTTCTGTTCTGAATATAGATTGAAAAGGTATAGAGAGACAGGACACATCTCTGACACATTCCTTTCCCAATTTTTAACCATGTAGTGTTTCCTTGTTCTGTTCTGAAGACTGCTTCCTGGTCCAAGTTTAGGTTTTGCATAAACACAATCAAGTGTTCTGGTATTCCCATTTTTCTCAAGGTTAGCCACAATTTGTTTTGATCCACAGAGTCAAATGCCTTCACATCGTCAATGAAACAGATATTCCTCTGATACTCTTTGCTTTCTGTCAAGATCTATCTGACATTGGCAATGATGTCTCTAGTGCTACAACCTCTTCTAAACCCAGCTTGTATTTCTGGTAGTTCTCTGTTAATGTATATTCCAGTTGTGTCTGGATAGTCTTCAGCAGGATTTTGCTTGTGTGTGATATTAATGATACTGTTTGATAATTTCCACAGTCACCTTTTTTTGGAATGGGAATAAATAAGGATCTCTTCCAGTCAATTGGCCAAGTAGTAGAAATCCTTCAGATTTCTTGGCACAACTTGGCGAGCACATCCAGGGCAGAATCTGTTTCTTAAAATATGTCAATTGGTGTTCCATTAATTCCTGGAGCTTTATTTTTTGCCAAGTCCTACAGAGCAGCCTGAACTTCCTCCTTCATCACCATTGCCTCTTGCTCATATGTTGTTTCTTGAAATTCTTCTGTATCAGCCTGTAAAGTTTTTTCCTTTCACCCAACTAGGAGGCTTAAGTTAGGGGATATGGTTTTTAAATCAAAAGCATACTTCCGCCTCCCCCCCCCTGTTCAGAGGTACTTTGGTACTATGCAAAACTTCCACAACTTCCCCTAACCCAAGCCTCCTAGTTGGGTGAAAGGAAAAAACTTTACAGGTCCCAACAAAGGAGTCAAGTAAAAGTGCCTCCCCTTGGCAGAGGCACTTAGGTCTGTGCACTTGCCCTCACCTCTCCACCAGAGGGTCTCCCAACCATTAAAGGAGCTCACTATCCACTGCCAGCGTCTCCCCTTCCCACGCACTCCTCCTACACCTTTTTCTCACTGAGCTCCCCAGTAGGCATCCCATCCTATAACCAGACTCTGGGAGAGCTCCCAGCCCACTGCCAACACAGAAGGTGACACCATAAGTGTCTCCTGCAGGCCCAACACAGCCCTCTGCTGCCCTCTTACTGAGTCTGGAGGCTCTCCCTCCTATCTATTATTTTTATATCCTATATATTTTTTTCCATAAACATCTCACTTTAAAGCTTACCAAGCACTTAACCAACCTTCATCGCCTTGGCTGTAAGAAAAATAGCAAACCAAGAAATGGTTTACCTATATAATGAGAAAAATCGAGGATTTTGCTCAGTCTTGAATCTTGCTCTCAGGTCCATTACTGGTTTGCTGTGTGACTCTACATCTCATGCTTCCTGTCTAATTTTCAATCTTCTCAGCCATTAAATTGGACCAGGTCTGTAGTCCTTGCCTGTCAGTCAGGGGACATGTGAGGTCTCATAGCAAAATTTTCATCACACAGCTGCAATATGAAAAGTAAATAATCAAACACAGACCACACAGGTGTGTGTGTGTGTGTGTGTGTGTGTGTGTGTAGGTGAGTGACAAAGCTGTATTTTATTCTAAGATAGCATTATCTAATTTCTATTAAAATATCTTTTATTTTGTGAAATGATCATAGAGTTAATGACGGTTCTTAATTTTTTTATTAATTAATTTATTTATTTTTCATTTCA